TTAGTATGTTTTCCTCCCACTACTTCTAATATAGTACATACATATATAAGTGAGGTTCTAATTTTGATATAGTGAAATTGAACCTCTCACAAACGCCGGACATCTCCTAGTCCCCAGTTTTCGTGTTTCAAAGTATGTTATTTTAAGCTGGCAGCTGAGTTCGCCTCTCTTAAACTGATATTGTGTTAACACTTTAAAGACCGCACGCCCCACCGGTGGGTCACTCCGTAACAACATTACCGGCCCGCGTGCTCACGGGTGGGCATTCGACATGTTTTACCTGGAGACCGCTTGTACACCTGTGTCCCTCGTAAAGAAGTTTATGATATAATTAACATTGGCTGATATCCCAAAAAAACTCTTATCAACTAAACAGTTTGGTTTTAAAACTTAGAGCCTCATATCTGTGTACGTAGTAACAAGCCAGTTTTTCTTTATTATAATTATAATATATTAGGCTCATAAAATAGTATGTTCCTACCTAAACAATCATTTTTATTTAACATAACGTAATAAGTCCTTTGTCACATAGTAAGAACGCAATCAGAATCAGACCCTAACACCCAACTCTTAGATTAGAGCACAATCGAGCATTCATACAGAATATAACAATAAATCTCATCGTCTTCCGGAGAGATACTATATGCTATCATATTAGACAATCCCATTTTGTTTAGTTGGTAACGCAAGTTAGACTAAGTTGGTAATTAGTTAGCAACCTCAAATCTGTCCTGCTGATAAAAAGTACTTCCAAACTAATTGTAAAGTAGTTATAATAAAATTCCTGCCCAATCGTAAATTATAAGAGTTCAGTAATGACAGAATGAAAAGTAATGCCAGTAAACGTACCTATAAGTTCTGAACTAATTTATTTTACAATTCAAGCCTCAACCATTTTGTTGTCTGTATCACTTAATATAACATATGTATATTGAGGTACACATTATATAGAAATATATAAGGCTTTATATTTAAAAACCTTTTACCCTCAGCTATACTATTACAACAAAACTGTCAAAAAATGCTATAACTACTGATTGTCATTGGCAAAGTTGACCGATAGAATACCATAAGTAGAGGCACTAGCAGGACTTAACTATTAGGTTCTAATAGCATTTAAGACGGCATACTTTAGTTTCTAAAATCTAATTGATTAAAGAAAATATTGGCCTATATATACATGCACTACAATATCCGTGTGGCTTGAAAATTTATATATTAATTTATATATAAAAAATAAATGTAATGCATTGAAATATTTAAGATAATAAAAAATATTAAATCAATAACTAATTCAACTGTACGAAACAAAATACTTTATATTTTTCTCTAATGCTATCTAAAAGTATAACGCCATACGTGCCTATAAAATGTTTACTTTAAAAATAGCTCAATCATTTTATATATAATAATGAAACATATTCAAACATTGATACATATTTTGGCGTATAAAACAGATAAAATATTTTCTTAAACATTTTAAAATAGATAATAGAAAATCTATCGAAAACTGTCGATGCTCAGCATAATTCATTTTTTCACTTCAACTATAAATTCTATTGGGTTTTAATAGTTTATCACACGTATAACTACGAAATTTGGGTATCGTTGCAAGCTCTTAGCACGTATTTGATTTATTAACAATAGAACAATTGAGACAAAAACAATTTATGAAATAAAAACTATGACATATTTTATGTAATTAAAATTTATTATCACCTGTAGGTGGTAAATAATATACAGTTTCCTTCCCACTTCATAAGTAGTGCGAATGTTAAAATATTTGTATACTTTCTAGTATTTAATCTGCAGGTGATAATTGTGATTTTTTTTAAATTATAGTTGCAGCAACATATATATTTACATCGCTGCGAACATTTAAACTATTGTTTTGTGGTCAGTTGCAAATTAATCCAGCTGTAATGAAAAACAAACTGTATTTTATGTTCGAACACAAATAATTTATTAAATACCTTCTTGAAACCAATATCATTGGCGTATTCTCTGAAGCATTGACGGCAAATGTTCAAGCCATATTTCCGGATAAGACCATGACGGTTAGAACAGGCGCGGCTAAAATGAAAAACTTTTTAATATAAGTAAAGTAAAATAATATCTAAATAGTAAATTTGTATGTATATTTATGATATATTAATTATTAAATGTTGTTCATTTGCTTTAGCGTCTAAGCAAAATTTTTGAGTGAAGGCGCAACAATAAGCAAATATTGGACATTTACTTTTGCCAACATTAATTAAGGTAAATGCATAAAATAACCACATTTGCCGTACTCAACTGCTGGCATATGAATATAACACATATGTATAAACAAATGACGTCAGTACATTCCATAAATTAATGAACACTTCTTGCACAAATTCAGCGGAGCCCCACGCTGCGCACCATAACCTCAATTTAAATAAATTTAATTTTCATTTTGCAGTTACACTTTTGATAAATTTAATACACTAAAATATTCCAAATTTTATGCACTTTTTTTACATACCAGCATCTGGAACCTTGGCCGTATTTTCTTGGATGCGAGTACCAAAGATTTGCGAAACCCATGTTGGCTACTTCACTTCAAAAAACAGAAAGAAAGACAACATGGCCGAATGTCAAAAAGTTATAAATGGTATGGTGAATTAAATTGATGAATTATTGTTCAGTGGTAGAAGTTGTGTTCAATAAGAACTCTATAAATTTTATGCAAATAAAATTATCACATGAAAATCAAATTTTTATTTTATATATATTATTGTTAAGTAGCTGAAAAACATAAGACTTTAATTTACTAAGAGATGTGTCATAAATATGATTTGAGAAATGTTTTAATATATGATGTAGAAATAATGATTAACGTTGCTGTATAGTAGTATTAATACCTAAAAACAACTAATACCCTAAAGCATTTTTCTTAAAATAAATACTAAAAATATGTGTACAATATTATTATCAAGCAGTATAAAACTTAGTTATAACTAACTTTAATCTTTGCAGTATTAAATGGTAAGAAAAATTTGTTATTTTAATTACATTAAAAAATCATATTCGTTTAATATTATACATTAAAGGTATTTAGATGTATCTCGTTAATATTGGTTAAGTGATAAAATTACCAATAACCATTGTTATATTTTGCTAGACAAAGTCATAAAATTAAAACCCCAAAATAATTGAGTATAACTCTAAATATTTTGTTTTACATAAAGGCTAGAAAATGGCAACAATAATAGGAATCAGCTGATGTTGGTCCAAGTAAAACACAAGTAAAGTACAAACTGAGAGTATAACACAAAGTGCCAAATTACGCTCTTTACATAGATTTTCATGGAACAAAGTTGTGTAAAGTCTGGAGAAATTTAAAAATTCAAAGCAAAACAGCTGATTCACACATCAACATAAATTTTTCTTAAAATAAAATGTACGAATAAAGTCTGTATAGCATTTTTAAATTTCGACAGGGATATTGCTCTATCTCTCTCTCTGATGCTCTCTTTTACTCGAAAATTTACTGGTGGAGCACACTAGTGTATACACAGTGTTATTCAAAGTTACTACGAATAACTCGTAGAACAGTTCTGTTATCATGGCTCGATATTATGTTGCTCGGTAACATTCTAATTTTACAAAAACGTATACACATTAATTTTAACCATCTTATGGAGTTAACGAATATATCTCAATACACAATATACAACTTTCCGTTATTAAACAACAATAAATTTTTATCAATAATATTATATTAAGTCGTTAATAAAAAAATTAACATTGTACGCTTATGTTACAAAGCATACGTACCGAAGACAAAAACCAATTCAAGTAACCTTGCATAATTTACTACACTTTATTTGCTTCTGCTTTCACCATTGAAACCAACCTATTAGACATTGTCAACTTGTATGACGTTTAAAATGTCAATGTCACTTGTAAATGTCAAAAAGTTACTGGCGATTGTCATTTCAGGCGCAAAAAGATATAACCAAACATTTTGTTTAAATTTTAGCAATTTAATTAATTATATTATTTTTCCTATTAAAACACCTAAAAAAGATTAACAAAATGAGTGCATTGGAGCATACAATTGATGACTGTTTAGAAAAAGTGGCATTGCTGGAGGATTTTATAGCAATTAGTTTGCGTAATGAAAAATTAAAACCAGAAATTGAAGAAATAACTAGCAATATAAATATAGTAAAATTGCAATTAAATTTTATTATAAACAAATCTAATGTACATTATTTTTATATTGAAGATACACCAGAGTATGTTTGAAGTAGAAAAGCTAGTAAGAGAAAACATTGATGACATGGAGGAACGGTATCGATTGGTAATGAGTCGCATGCAGCAACAACAAATGATAATAATGGATCATTTAATAAAGCAAAGACAACAAAAACTACAAAAAAGAAACGAAGAGAAACAATTGAAATCAATTCTTAAAGTGAACGCACATCATATAAATGAGCCAGTTGTCGCCTCAACATCAACAAGCGCTTCAAAAATGACGTCACATCATGCTTCACCACAAGTAACCATTGAAGAGTATAAGCGAACTCCATCAAATGGTCAGAAGAGCATTCTGAAACCAATACCATTCAGTTTTCTGGAATTTAGTGTGTACATTACTCGACAACAGTTTGAAACCATTCCAAGGTAATTAGTAGAAGCAAAGCAATAAAATGTACATTGCTTAAAATATTTATTTGAATAGCTTTCAGTCTGCTAAGATTACAGTTATTGTCAGTGCTACAAAGCAGTTAAAGTTAAAGCTTAGTTCAGCAGTATTAAAAAAATTTGCTTCACCTTTAAGGCAAATAACGCAATTAAAAACTAAAAGATTGAATTTGCTTTCGAACATTAGCGAAGAGGCTAATAATATGCTTTGTAAGGAATCTTAAAAAATCTTCTGTAATATCTTTATGTATTGAGACTTAATGGGTTTGTTTTTAGGATTGTTATAGTCTTTATTTTTAGTTATTTCAAGGAATACTGTAAATATCTAGTACTTCTGAAATTAGTTTGTTTAAAATTAATAAAAGCATATAAAGATATGTTAATAGCACATTTTCATTATTTAAGTGGATAAATCTTTCCCAGCAAAATGTGCACTGATATGAAAGAAAGAAAGCTTAAAAATATTTTGGCAGTCCTAACATTTAATAGTAAAGGTATTAGGTTATATATATCGTACTTGAGGGGTTAGAATCGCTTCTTTGTCTTAACGCTAAGTTGAAAGTATAATATTTATTCTTATTCGTACAACATTTGATAAATCCATCATTGCCAGATAGTAAATGTTCCACTATTTACGAACTTGATAGAATATTTCGAAATCTCCACAACTAATTTTATCGTCCACCAAGATACTGAATTATTATGTTGTTTATTATGATCTATTGTAATTTTTAATATTCTTATGAACATTTTATTTTTATATTTATTAAAATCAATTAAGATATATGTGTGGTCGAGAAACATTTGAAGAATTGAAGCATTTTTTGGAAAATGTCATTATTCCTTGTTTCAATGAAAAGTATGAGTTACTGCATCGCAAAAAGGCAAATATACGCAATCCGAATGAATTTCAATTGTGGCAATTGTTTAAACAGCAGACATCATATGTGCCTGGTGAGCTCTTTATTAATACACTATATATATTATTTTGAAATTATATTACACAAAGAAATTTATATATTACAGGGCGAAATTTTATAACTCCCGGCGATATATCACGAAAAATTAATAAAATGATGGACAAGAAGCTGCAAAACCGCATCATAATGCTTCGTCATCTCTCCATACTACAGGAAATACGGGTGTCCAATATAGTTTGCTACATTTGGACAGCAAATGCTACGTAGATTTGTGCCTATTACTTGGATTATTTAGCTAAATGGAAAATTCTTTACTAAATAAATTAAATTCTTTTTATCTAATTAAAATGTAAATGTAGAATGTCAAAATTTTATTTATTTAACTCGAAAACTAGAAAATTTATTAATTTCATTATTAATTAATTTTATTTATTTAAAAAAAAAAATTATTTATTAGAGATAGAAATTACTGACTTGGCTTTAACATTTAAAATTTGATTAAGTTCCACTTTATATGCAAAAAAGAAAAAATGTGTTAGTTGATAGTTTTTTTTTTATTAAATTTTAAAACAATTTTGTAATTATAAAAGTATTAAGAAATGTCTGTAATAAAATTTGTAATATTTATGTATAAGTATATTAATAAATGTTTGTATTTAATTCGTAATTTTTCAGTGCAAATCATCAAATGAAAAATAATTAATATTAAAATGTGTAGAAAGCTATAAATTTAAGTTTATTAAAATCTAATTAATGTGTAATTGATTGATAAACAAATTTTTATAATAGGGTATTTAGTATACAGAATATTATTGTACACAAATTTATTTAAAAATTTAATTTTAAATGTAAGTTTAAAAACTGTCGATTTTATCATCAATTTATCAATAAAGGTTAATTTCCTTAATCAAATGTCGTTCTGAAAAAATATTATGTATAAAAAATGAACAAGAAAATTTATGTAATTAAACATAAAATAGGAAAAAAAACTGTAATTGTTTGTGGAATTAAAAATAATTGGCGCTGTCAATTATTTAAAAGAAAAGTAATGAATTGACTGTTGATCGCATTTAGTAAATCTTACTAATATTTTCTAAAAATATTCAGTTGAAATTATTAAATTAAGTATTTTAAAAACTATGTTAAGTGTTACCTATTCTACTATAAAAATGATGTGATATTTTGTTTTGTTTAAACATCACAACCACAACTATTTTATCTCTTAGACACTTTTGTAACTTCATTATTATGTCATTGTTAACAGATAAATAATTGAAAGTTCTTATTGTTTAAATAACATATGAACTTATTAACTTTGTAATGGGAGCATAAAAATAATATTAACTTAATATTTTTATGATTCCAGTGCCAGAATATTCTGAATATGCTTTATCTGGTCAGCGTCAATTGGCATCACCACTTCAGTTTCATTGTTAGATTTTGCGGCTTCTGCTGACTCCAACTGAAACTTCTGCAGTTGCATTATCATTCTAGTATTTTCGTTCAGATGAGAATGCCGTGCCTTGATGTGTTTATCTCGATCCCCCCGTTGACGAAAATGTTTTGTGCAATATAAGCAGGGAAAGGGTTTCTCACCAGTGTGTATACGTTGATGATTCTTCAGTGCATCTGCGCGATAGAAACGTTTTTGACAATTATCACATTCATAACGTCGTTCGCCGCGATGAATTAGCCGATGTTGATAATACACTGAACCAGTCATGAAACTTTTACCACATTCAACACACTTGAACGGACGTTCCCCTGTATGACATTTGCGTATATGGTCATTTAGATCTGGGCGTATGGTAAATTTGCGTCCACAATTTTGTTCTGGACACTCAAATGGCTTAACACCTTAAGAAAGAGAAATTAAGTTGTCACAAAAGTAATGGTAATTATCGTTTTATACAATAGGTATGCTGATTTGTATAGTGATGTACGTGGCTGTAAGTACAATATATAGTAATGTATACATATATGAATTTCTCAGTTTCCAATATATATAAATATATATAAGTTTTTTTATAGAGCTTACCTTGATGAAAACGCAAATGTTGCCACAAATGACTGGATTGTGTGTAAGCCTTGCCACATATATCGCAAAGAAATTGACGGGCCTTGAAGCTATTCTTGTCAATTTCCCTCTCACGCTTATACTTTTTTTGGTGTTTACGTGCGAAGTGAAGTGTATATGTCATTTCATCGAAGAAAGATAGATCGCAGTGTTCGCAGGGCATTACAAGTTTGTTTGATTTTTGATCCAAACGCGGAAAGAAATGTCTTTCCTCATGACTACAAAACATCATATTATGTAAGCGGTAGTTTTATAACATAATCTATACATGCTTCGTTATCAACAACTCTACTTACCGATGTTCAAGTAATTCCTCCTTGGATGCAAACTTATTTTCGCATACATTGCATATCTGCCAACAATTGAAGGCAGCCTGGTGCATCTTGATATTTTCACGCAAAAAGACGCATTCCGTTTGCCAATGCAATGTACTCTCTTTCAAAGTCGAGAGTTTAACAGAGCAAGATACACAATTGTAGCGACTCTCCGACTGTGAGTGCGAGGCCGTATGCGAAAGTAAATATGTTACATTATGAAATAAGCTATCACAAAACTCGCATTCTAGTATACAGTTGGTTTCAATGAAATTAAGATAGGAAGAAAATTCCTTCGAAATTGTATCCATGTTATGCTCCTCTACCTAAAATAGAAAGGAGTAAGGAGACCATGATTTACGCTGCATATCAGTCCTCAAAAATGATAACACGTATACCTATTATGTGTATTTTACTTACTGAGTGTTGCTCATTGTCTTCAATAAAATCAATATCATTTTCTTTGCCAACTTGTAAATAATCAGGTACAGTCATTTTGAAATTTAGAATGGAGTAATGAGTACTTAAATGATTGATTGCATCATCTGGATTGTAGAAAATTTGACCACAACTCACACATTCTAACATAATGCGTTTTTTCTCTGTGAATTCCTTGCCCGCTTGTCCATATGTATAATTGTTTATAGGAGCTATGTCAAAGACATGTTTCTCCATATGACGTTGTAGACCCGATGCGTGAACGAATTTTCGTTCACATAACGTGCATTCATGCTGTGCATGTGGCCTCTTAAGACTTCCATCCAGGTTTGCAATTTTAAATGCATGAAAGTTCTTAAGATCGTTATCATTATTTAGTTCTTCTCTGTTTATAGGACGAAAGCGGGCCTTGTTTTCGCGCATAATACGAAGGCATGGTGGGTCAAATTTTTCTTTAAACTTATCCGTATGCGGTAAATTGGCATTTGCTGAACAACGGATATGATTTTCATCATAATGACAGATATGCGCCTCAAATTTGTTAAGGTCAAATATTTTTTGGCAGTGCGAACATTTTATAATACGAGGATCGTTTTTGATCACATTAACATCTCGTGTAGGAAGTGAAGCTGTAATTATTAATCTCAGATTATTTAGGGTTACTGCACGTTAATTTTATAATATTTATTAAGAATGAATTCATTAAAATATGGTGGATATGGTGGAAACCTATTTCCATATGACTTATTAATATTAGATATAATTAAATAAGAGTTATACTGCAAAATATCATTGACGAATACTTACTTGAATGACTTATGTTTGATTCTAAAAACTCTAGTACTTTGAGCTCAGCTTCCGGATTATCAAAGTTGCTTGGTGATGGTAAATTAAATTCAAACTCTGTTGGGGATCCCATCAAATTATCTACAAATGAGTGAGTTACGTTCTTTTGTGGCAAACTAAATGAACTTTTTAAAGTTATGTTAAAAGAGTTTTGCATGATCTCACCGGAACTGTAATCCATAGGTATAATGGTTGAATTAACTATACCACCAGTCACATACTTATCGGTTAAGTTATTTTCAGCAGTGAAGGCCTTAGAATCGTTTCCAATTATATGTAATAAATTTTCAGAATTTTGTATATAAAAACTATTGTCATCATCCATCCATTCTTTGACCAGATTTACAGTACTACCTGTAGACCATTCAAACGAATTATTATTAGTTATATTAATAATATGTATTACAGACTTACTGCTATTCCTCAAAGGAAGTTCCATGATTGTATTGTCATCTGTATCAAATTCGTTATTTGCAGATGAATTGTTTCCTACTGACCAGATTAAGGTATCTTGTTCTGCAAATGTGTACGTTGTTTTCTCTACTAAACGGACTGTGTTTGAAATGCTATCTGCGGACATATTAATATCATCTTCCATTTGCCAATTAGACACACTTTCTTGATCGATCTCCATTATGTTTTCTGTTGATGTTTTGCAGTTATTTTCACGTAAATCAGCATCATTCTGGAACGGTTGAAAAACTCCATCCTGATCTGATAAAATAAACAAATTTTCTGTTGCATATCCATTTTCCTCGTTTGTAGAGCAATTGCCATTAGTCTTACACGGCCAAACAGAAGTGTTTTGTGGTTCTAATTTGAACAAATTCTGTTGTGTATCGTCATCAGATAAAATTAAAAGATTTTCAGTTAATAACCCGTTATTGTTTGGGACGTCATCTGCAGACAAGGTGTTATCATTTTCAATTACCCAAGGCAGAGCGTCGCTTCTTTTTAAGTTAGGCATACTTTCCGCCTTCATAGTGTTGTTGTACTCAGATAAATTATTTTCATTTAACTGCTTGAAAAAATCATTTTGATCTGCTGAAACTAAAAAATTATCTATAGATAATCCATTTTCATTTGGGCCGTCATCTGTTGATGAAGTAAGTTGTATGTTTGCACTTTCCCACGGCCATGACAAGGTGTTTTGTTCCTCCAGTTTTAGTATATTATCATTATTATTTATAGGCTGAAAAAACCCGTCTTGATCTGATAGAATTAATTGATTCTCCGCAGAGGCGCTATTGAAATCCTCGACTCCATTTGTAGACAAATTATTATCATTCTCTAGCTGCTGCATAAAATGGTTTTGATTTGGTAAAACTGATAAGTTATCTGCAAACATTTCATAATTATTACTGATATCTGCAGTTGAGCTATTATCATTTTTTAATGTCCAAACACTAGCACCATTCTCGCCAGGCACAATATAATAATATCCTGGCATTAAGTTAAGGTTGTCATTATTTAAATCGCTGTCACTGCTCACAGAATTGTATGAACTATCGCCATTCATCTCAACTAAGTTCCAATTGGAGTACTCCGCCGATAATGAGTTAGGCGCATTTTCTAAATAAATAAATAACAATTATTATTCGTAGATAAAAAAAAATTGTTTATTAATTATTAAATTATTAATGTTCTGATCTGATCTGAAGCACCAATAAAAATGTTTATGGATAAACAAACAAACACTATATTCGCCAATTTCAAAACGAAAATATTATCTGGCTTTTGTAAGATCTTCTTTTAGTATTGGTAATGCGGTATTATCAGTATGAAATAAAGCTGTCCTGTGCTTACAAATCGCAGCTATCCACCATGTGCAAGTCAAAAGTATTTATCCTCCATCTTCAATGCAAATTCGAACAACAATTTCATTGGTAGTAAGAGAATTATTTGCCTTCATCCATATATTTAATGGAGCGCTCTTATTCTCCAAAGCACTTCGCAATCATTGCTATTGTTATATTCAGTCAAAGAGCAGGATATTTCACTCTTGCGTCCATCTATTGGCTGCTTTCGTCGCTCATCACATCTCTGCTTCAACTTAGTGTGAACCATATATGGTACGACTTACCACAATTGATGCATTATTCATTGGGTATTTTATTAAGTTTTAAGGAGAATTTTCAAAACTATTGTACTAGTGTCCCGGGTTGCCATCGGTGACGGTTGATCGACCTATATGCCTATATGCTTCGCAACTATTAAAGCAGGCGCATTTTTAAATTTTTTTCACTATTTGAATATTTCAATGCCATCTTGTTTCTATTATAACACCTTTTCTTACCTAAATTTTCATCCATCAAAATTGAATTTATTTCAGAATCCCTTAGCGTACTTTGATTAAAGCTCATTTTGAATAGTGGAACCAAATTTTTGAAACATAAAGCAAATCAAAAATTTTTTATATTGAATAATATTTAATTTCTATAGTTAACTTTTGAAAGAAAAAGTGTTGCCAAGTAGATGAAAACTAATATTTTTAAAAAATTTCAAAAATTTTCTTTAGCTTTATTATATATATCTACTTCTGGAAAATTACTTAAGCGTGTAGCATATGCTATCCAACAAATGAAGCACAGCGTCTTTATTGAGAATCCAGTATGAGAAGTTTCACTCTTATTGGCCTGTAAATCTTGGAATAAAAAATGATTAATTATTAGTACCAGCTATAGATTATGTTAGATTATAAGATTAGATTAGATTAGATTATTATATTAGAAGTCATATACACATATGTTGTATTATATATATATTAGTTGTTTATATTGATCACGTCATATATAAAAATATTAACAAATAATAAAATATGGTTTATTATATATAATTAGATTCACAGACTATTTTTATTCACTACTGATTAGTGAATAAAAATAATCCGTGAATCTAATTTAACAGGTATAGATCAGAGAACTGCAATCAGTATTCAATACTTGAATCATTGACTGTATTCCAATTATATGCATTCTGACTTTCTTTTTCGTATATTCAACTTCACTTGATTCATAAATACAGCTGACAGCACTTATAATGATGTATACTCTGCTCATATGATACTCATAAGCACCGACATTCGACACAAAGATGATGTAAATGATTTATAAAAGATTCATGAGTATTACGTTGAAGTCGCAAAAAATTTGTTTATTGATGTTTACATATAACGAGTAACTCGTCTGTTCCACGAGTTACTCGTAGTAAAACTCGATTAAAATACAAGTAAACTACAAACTATAATAAGAGCGTAACACAATTAAAATGCGAAAAAAACAAAAGAAATACATGCATTTGCAATGCTAACTGCAACAACACACACCAAAAGTTTAAACTAAGCACATAAATTTTTTGCTTAGCAAATAACAGTGCTCACATAAAATTTTTGCAAATGCTACAACTGATCGACTGATCGTGTCATTCATTTTCGATGAGTATATTCATACTCATCTGAGTATATGCTATGATTCATGAATCGTTTTTCATTTATGCTACTCTACTTAGAAATGTTCTGTGGCAAATGCATATAGGTAGTGTATAAAAAAAACATTTATACGCATTTATATTTGGTTTTTTATGAGTGTACTTTGATTTTTAAAATTATGACACGTTGCAGTTCTCTGGTATGGATGCATAACTTATGATTTGTTCACTGAGACCTCACTTATTAGAAAATAAGCACAAAAAATTACTAAGTAATTATATATATATTTTTTAGACTATAAAACATATTAAAATAATTAAACAGTTTATAATTCTTAAACTTTGTGGTACCTATTAAAAACAAAACTGTCATAGTGGTCCTGGGTCAAAAAAAGGTAGGGAACTATTGATTTAAATAAATCGTCTATAGTTTTTAGAGCCTTTTCTGATATACGTATGTAACCTCGAATTTCTTGTAGTCTTTACATAGTCCTTATATGATGATCACCTCATTTTAGCATTAATAGTTATGACAATATCTACAAATATTTGAGGAACTGTGTGTTGATGTGACCCCGGTTTTGACAGAATTTTTGTTTCTTTTTTATTTAAATAGTAATTTTGCAGATATTTTTGTTCAGACTTAAGTTAGAAATTATTTGAATGGTGACTAAAATTACAGTGGTAAGACATACCTATGCTATTGTTAAGGCATAAGAGGCTTCAAAGTTTGAATTTCGAATTCTCCTCATAACGCTGCATAATATTTTGATATGACCTAAAATATATTGTATTTCGCTTAAATGAACTGAGCTGAAGTTAGATAATAATGAGACTATATTTGATAGGACCTTTGATTTCTTCCCATTATTTAAATCTTATATTTGAATAATTCTTCATAATTGATATATGGTACCAACTCTATTTTACAGGTTATGAGTTAACTTCATTAAATTAATAGTATTTGTCAGCTCTACTCTTAGTGTGTAGAATGTCAAAAATTTTTATTTTTTAATTCTGTGTAAAATGTTTTTATATTCTTTAATATTTTTATCATTTCTAATCGAAACTAATTGAATGTTATTATGTATTTACTTTCTAATATATTTTTTTTGAAATTAAGATTAATTTCCTATCTATCATATTTGGTTTTAAAGACCAACTAGTATAACATACCATATATAAATTGTCAAAAAATCAATACAAAAATGACTTTAATTTTAATATTACATTTTAATAATTTAGAATAAAAGTTAATTATTTAAAGTTTGATAAATCGGAAATATGAAATAAATGCAATATAGACTAATTGATATTGATAGCTTAATTCTTCTAACATATAATATTTTTTAATATTTTACTTACATCAAATGATTTCGATGTTATGAAGATTAAAATCTACACGACACCTACGTTCGAAAAAAGGCACTGTTATCAACTATAACTTTCAATAAAATCAAAACGACTGAATATATGAGATCTTTGACTTATCAGTGAAAATATTTTAAATTTATTTCTATTGGTTGTTAGCGAACCGACCGATAAATACAATATATATGTATGTCTTCTGACAGTTGCAATTACAATATTTTTAATCTTCAAGTATCTGTCAAAATGTTTTTAGTAGAATTTGGCAGTTTGGTATTTTTATTAAACTTCAATGAAATAATTTTGATTTACACTTGACGTCTACACGAGGTACATTGGTTAATTGTGAGAATTATAAGTCCAAATCTAATCAAAAGTCAACGCACGTTAATCAATACACATAAGGATAGTAAAGTCATTGGAAACGAGAGACTACAGACAGCGTACAGTTATTATTACAAAAATCTAGACTTTCCGAAATGTAGACTAGTTCTAGTTCTATAAAAACGCAAGACATGAATTTATAACTTGCCGGTTATATGCAGTATCTAATTAGTGGTCTTGCTATGGACAATATCAAGGTCACTAGTTACTTAAGAATAGGAAACTTGGGCGATGAAATAAGTATATGAACAAATATATATATATATATATTTCGACAAATCTATTTACTGCTTGAAATAGATAAAAATTTTCAAGTAGAGAATAAGAATAATAAATTACTGCATATTGAAAATGTTGTAAGAATAATTTAAGCACCCTTTGTGCTTTAAAGGACTGCGTATGTTGTTATAATAAGCCCTGAGAGAATCCTGAAAGGTATTTCCAATAGTATTCCTATGATAACAAGACAAAGGTCGTCCTAAAAAGAGATAAGAAAATAGTATTTTCGAAGTTTTGTTTTCATAAGAATGGAAAATGTTGAAGATACCATCGCGGCGCAAAAGAAATGGAGATATGTCATGTAGGCGTTTAAGGTTAATACAAATCGAAAGGTTAAATATCATTAATATTTTTTATATGTATTAAAAAATAAATAAATAAAAGAATAAAAATTTTTTTATATATATATACATTTATTATAATTATTTGGACAAATCACTTATAAAGTTTAGTTTTTCATGTACATAAATCAAATACAAATGTATTTATTATACAAATTAAGATAGATTTTGTGATATATATAAATGTTACAATCATTATTACAAATGTATCCAACAAAATGCTTCTTTTTTACTTTACTCGTCAGTAATAAGTTAGTAAATTAGTAAAAAACTGTATCATTAAAATAATACTTATGAATAAAGGTGACTAATTAAATTTTACATAATTTTTCTTTACTAAATTGAATTAATTTAAGATGGCAACTTAATTAGTGAAGAAACCACCTTTGATATTAGACAAGTGGTGGAGTTAGTATATATATATATTTAAAATTATTTATAATAATATTTATACAAAATTAAGACAGATTTTGTGATATATATAAATGTTACAATTATTTTTACAAATGTACCCAACAAAATGCTTTTTTTTTACTTTACTCGTCAGTAATAAGTTAGTAAATTAGTTAAAAACTGTATCATTAAAATAATACTTATGAATAAAGGTGACTAATTAAATTTTACACAATTTTTCTTTACTAAATTGAATTAATTTAAGATGGCAACTTAATTAGTGAAGAAACCACCTTTGATATTAGACAAGTGGTGGAGTTAGTATATATATATATTTAAAATTATTTATAATAATATTTATAACTTGTGACGAAGGTTTTTTCTCCGTTTGTAGAATCTTTGATATGTTCTACCTCAATCAAATCCGTATCCGAAGATGACTCACTTAGTGGGACTTTATATGTCGAAAAACCCTTTTCAATATTGTCAATAAACGATGTATTAATTTGAGAACTGTTTGACGCTTCCGTATCTGAAGAATCATCGCTGCTATCTAGATTATTTAATAGTAAATCATAGATTCTCTTTTGTGATTCATTATGCAGGTCTTTATAAAGACTCTCTCCTGGTTCATATGCATGAGTTTTTTCGTTATTTACGTTGTCAGACAAAGACTTTCCTTCGATAGTTTGCTCATTCCTGTTTTTATAAATTTCATTCAAATTAGTTTCGGTTAAGTCAATTACTTCGGTGGGATCACCTACCAATAAAGAAAAAATTAATAATTAATAAAATAGAATAATATATTCTGATAATTTCTATAGATTTAACGTAAAAATGAAAAATAATTTATATTATTATCTACAACAAATCTTGCAAAATTATGACTATTTTAGGAAAGGGATAATATTATAATTAATTATATCATGTACTCTGCTTGCTATCTAGATCAATTTAATTCTCGGATAATGGGATCCCATTTCCGAAAAGTTGTCATACGCTTGGCTGATCACTCAAACGCTGAAACACAGTATTTATTAGCAGCCTCACTCGTAATATGCTTGGCCCTTAAAAAAAACACTCTGGACGTGACATTATTCAAATATAGAATTAATAACTAATATACAATATTTATTAAAAGGTAAAGGTGATTGCGAGAACGGTTCAGAGTAGTGGTAATTTATTATTTTCTAGTCTATAAGTTTTTAAAAATAATTAAAATTATTAATATTACGTTTTCATCAAAATGTTTATTTATAATCACTCTCTTTACCTAAATCTTCGTCAACTAATGATATAGACTGTATTTCTGTTTGTGACTTGTCAGCCGCCAATTTTGAGCCCCTCTGTATCTTATTGTAATCTATGTAATTTTAAAGCAAATGAAAAAATGTTTTTATCAAAGTTTATATTGACAATTACTCTCTTCACCAAAAATTTCATCAAAGAAAGATATAGGTTGTGCTTTCATTTGTGACTTGTCAGTCGACAATTTTGGACCCGTTTGCGTCTTATTGTAACCTATGTAATTTAAAAGTAAATGAAAATGTGTTTCTATCAAAGTTTTAATTAACAATTACTCTTAGTCTGTTCTCTTATTTGTGACTTGTCAGCAGAAAACTTTGAGTCCGTCTGCATTTTATTGTAACCTATGTAATTTTGAAGAAAATGAAAATGTTTTTATCAAAGCTTTTATTGAGAATTACTCTCTTTACCTAAACTTTTATCAGAGGAACATACAGCCTCTGCTTTTATTTGTGACTTGTCAGCCGGCAATTTTGGACCCGTTTGCATCGTATTGTTATCTATGTAATTTTGAAGTTAATGAAAATATATTATTATCCAAGTTTTCATTGACAATTATTCTCTTTACCAAAAAATTTATCAAAGAAAGATATAGGCTGTGCCTTCATTTGTGACTTGCTAGTCAGCAATTTTTGACCCGTTTGCATCTTATGGTAACCTATGTAATTTTAAAGTAAATGAAAATATGTTTTTATCAAAATTTATATTAACAATTACTCTCTTTACCAAAATTTTTATCATAGGAAGATACAGTCTCTGCTCTTATTTGTGACTTGTCAGCCGGCAATATTGGACCCATTTGCACCTTATTGTGATCTATGTAATTTTAAAGTAAATGAAAATATGTTTCTATCAAAGTTTTAATTAACAATTACTCTCAGTCTGTTCTCTTATTTGTGACTTGTCAGCCGGAAACTTTGAGTCTGTCTGCATCTTAGTGTAACCTATGTAATTTTGAAGTAAATGAAAATATGTTATTATCCAAGTTTCCATTGACAATTACTCTCTTTACCAAAAATTTCATCAAAGAAAGATATAGGCTGTGCTTTCATTTGTGACTTGTCAGTCGACAATTTTGGACCCGTTTGCGTCTTATTGTAACCTATGTAATTTAAAAGTAAATGAAAATGTGTTTCTATCAAAGTTTTAATTAACAATTACTCTTAGTCTGTTCTCTTATTTGTGACTTGTCAGCAGAAAACTTTGAGTCCGTCTGCATTTTATTGTAACCTATGTAATTTTGAAGAAAATGAAAATGTTTTTATCAAAGCTTTTATTGACAATTACTCTCTTTACCTAAACTTTTATCAGAGGAACATATAGCCTCTGCTTTTATTTGTGACTTGTCAGCCGGCAATTTAGGACCCGTTTGCATCGTATTGTGATCTATGTAATTTTGAAGTAAATGAAAATATATTATTATCCAAGTTTTCATTGACAATTATTCTCTTTACCAAAAAATTTATCAAAGAAAGATATAGGCTGTGCCTTCATTTGTGACTTGTTAGTCAGTAATTTTGGACCCGTTTGCGTCTTATGGTAACCTATGTAATTTTACAGTAAATGAAAATATGGTTTTATCAAAATTTATATTGACAATTACTCTCTTTACCAAAATTTTTATCAGAGGAAGATACAGTCTCTGCTTTTATTTGTGACTTGTCAGCCGGCAATATTGGACCCATTTGGATCTTATTGTGATCTATGTAATTTTAAAGTAAATGAAAATATGTTTTTATCAAAGCTTTAATTAACAATTACTCTTAGTCTGTGCTCTTATTTGTAACTTGTCAACCGGAAACTTTGAGTCCGTCTGCATCTTATCGTAACCTATGTAATTTTGAAGTAAATAAAAATATGTTATTATCCAAGTTTTCATTGACAATTACGCTCTTTACCAAAAATTTCATCAAAGAAAGATATAGGTTGTGCTTTCATTTGTGACTTGTCAGTCGACAATTTTGGACCCGTTTGCATCTTATTGTAACCTATATAATTTTAAAGTAAATGAAAATATGTTTTTATCAAAGCTTTTATTGACAATTACTCTCTTTACCAAAATTTTTATCAGAGGAAGATACAGTCTCTGCTCTCATTTGTGACTTGTCAGTCGGCAACTTTGAACCCATTTGCATCTTATTGTGATCTGTGTAATTTTAAAGTAAATGAAAATATGTTTTTATCAAAATTTTAATTAACAATTACTCTTAGTCTGTTCTCTTATTTGTGACTTGTCAGCCGAAAACTTTGAATCCGTCTGCATCTTATCGTAACCTATGCAATTTTGAAGGAAATGAAAATATGTTATTATCCAAGTTTTCATTGACAATTACGCTCTTTACCAAAAATTTCTTCAAAGAAAGACATAGGTTGTGCTTTCATTTGTGATTTGTCAGTCGACAATTTTGGACCCGTTTGCATCTTATTGTAACCTATATAATTTTAAAGTAAATGAAAATATGTTTTTATCAAAGCTTTTATTGACAATTACTCTCTTTACCAAAATTTTTATCAGAGGAAGATACAGTCTCTGCTTTTCTTTGTGACATGTCAGCCGACAATATTGGACCCATTAGCATCTTATTGTGATCTGTGTAATTTTAAAGTAAATGAAAATATGTTTTTATCAAAATTTTAATTAACAATTACTCTTAGTCTGTTCTCTTATTTGTGACTTGTCAGCCGAAAACTTTGAGTCCGTCTGCATCTTATCGTAACCTATGCAATTTTGAAGGAAATGAAAATATGTTATTATCCAAGTTTTCATTGACAATTACGCTCTTTACCAAAAATTTCTTCAAAGAAAGACATAGGTTGTGCTTTCATTTGTGATTTGTCAGTCGACAATTTTGGACCCGTTTGCATCTTATTGTAACCTATATAATTTTAAAGTAAATGAAAATATGTTTTTATCAAAGCTTTTATTGACAATTACTCTCTTTACCAAAATTTTTATCAGAGGAAGATACAGTCTCTGCTTTTCTTTGTGACATGTCAGCCGACAACATTGGACCCATTAGCATCTTATTGTGATCTGTGTAATTTTAAAGTAAATGAAAATATGTTTTTATCAAAATTTTAATTAACAATTACTCTTAGTCTGTTCTCTTATTTGTGACTTGTCAGCCGAAAACTTTGAGTCCGTCTGCATCTTATCGTAACCTATGCAATTTTGAAGGAAATGAAAATATGTTATTATCCAAGTTTTCATTGACAATTACTCTCTTTACCAAAAATTTCATCAAAGAAAGATATAGGTTGTGCTTTCATTTGTGACTTGTCAGTCGGCAATTTTGGACCCGTTTGCATCTTATTGTAACCTATATAATTTTAAAGTAAATGAAAATATGTTTTTATCAAAGCTTTTATTGACAATTACTCTCTTTACCAAAATTTTTATCAGAGGAAGATACAGTCTCTGCTTTTCTTTGTGACATGTCAGCCGACAATATTGGACCCATTAGCATCTTATTGTGATCTGTGTAATTTTAAAGTAAATGAATTTATGTTTTTATTAAAGCTTTTATTGACAATTACTCTCTTTACCTAGACTTTCATCTGAGAAAGATACAGTCTCTGCTCTCATTTGTGACTTGTCAGCCGGCAACTTTGGACCCGTTTGCATCTTATGGTAACCTATGTAATTTTAAAGTAAATGAAAATATGTTTTTATCAAAATTTTAATCAACAATTACTCTTAGTCTGTTCTCTTATTTGTGACTTGTCAGCCGAAAACTTTGAGTCCGTCTGCATCTTATCGTAACCTATGCAATTTTGAAGGAAATGAAAATATGTTATTATCCAAGTTTTCATTGACAATTACTCTCTTTACCAAAAATTTCATCAAAGAAAGATATAGGTTGTGCTTTCATTTGTGACTTGTCAGTCGGCAATTTTGGACCCGTTTGCATCTTATTGTAACCTATGTAATTTTAAAGTAAATGAATATATGTTTTTATCAAAGCTTTTATTGACAATTACTCTCTTTACCTAGACTTTCATCAGAGAAAGATACAGTCTCTGCTCTCATTTGTGACTTGTCAGTCGGCAATTTTGAACCCGTTTGCATCTTATTGTGATCTGTGTAATTTTGAAGGAAATGAAAATATGTTATTATCCAAGTTTTTATTGACAATTACTCTCTTTACCAAAAATTTCATCAAAGATAGATATAGTTTGTGCTTTCATTTGTGACTTGTCAGTCGGCAATTTTGGACCCGTTTGCATCTTATTGTAACCTATGTAATTTTAAAGTAAATGAATATATGTTTTTATCAAAGCTTTTATTGACAATTACTCTCTTTACCTAGACTTTCATCAGAGAAAGATACAGTCTCTGCTCTCATTTGTGACTTGTCAGTCGGCAATTTTGAACCCGTTTGCATCTTATTGTGATCTGTGTAATTTTGAAGGAAATGAAAATATGTTATTATCCAAGTTTATATTGACAATTACTCTCTTTACCAAAAATTTCATCAAAGATAGATACAGTCTGTGCTTTCATTTGTGACTTGTCAGCCAGAAACTTTGAGCCCGTCTGCGTATTATTGCGATCTATGTAATTTTAAAGTAAATGAAAATATGTTATTTTCCAAGTTTTCATTGACAATTATTATCTTTACCAAATAATTTATCAAAGGAAGATATAGACTGTCCTTTAATTTGTGACTTGTCAGGCGGTAATATTGGACCCGTTTGCATCGTATTGTGATCTATGTTATTTTGAAGTAAATGAAAATATGTTATAATCCAAGTTTATATTGACAATTGCTTTCTTTACCCAAACTTTCATCAGAGGAAGATACAGTCTCTGATTTTATTTGTGACTCGTCAGCCGGCAATTTTGGACCCGTTTGCTTCTTATTGTGATCTATGTAATTTTGAAGTAAATAAATATGTGTTTTTATCAAATTTTATATTGACATTTACTTTCTTCACCTAAGCTTTCATCCACCAAAGATGTAATCTTTGCATTTATTTCCGATTTATTAGTCGGCAATTCTAAGTTCGTCTGCATCTTATTGTGATCTATATAATTTTGAGGTAAATGAAATTATGTTTTTATCATAGTTTATATTGACAGTTGCTTTTTATACCCAAACTTTCATCCAACAGAGATATAGACTGTACTTTCATTTGTGACTTGTCAGCCGGCAACTTTAAACCCGTCTGCGTCTTATTGTTATCTGTGTAATTTCGGAGTAAATGAGAATATTTTTTTATATAATATTGTTTTATTATTTAAGTTTTCATAGATAATTACTCTCTTTACCTATAGTCTCGTCAACCAAAGACATATCTGTTTGTGAGTTGTCAACCGATGAAGTGGATGTTACAAACACTAGATAACATAAAAGTTATTAGTTTTTATATTCTATGTTTTGTTTTTTTTATATATATTAGAGTTTTGTGCAAAAAAATAATAAATGTACCATTAAGATTTCCTATACAATTCATTTTTTGAGCATGTTCATTTATTGTATGTTCTATGAAATTGCTGTATTGCGTAAAATATTTTTTGCAGAAAAGACATCCCAGTGTGCACTTTTTGTTCTCATCCAGCAACAAAAAATAGTGCTTTTCCATAAGACTGTAAATTATTTAAGAATAAATAATAAAATATATATATAAATATATTAATAAAGGTCTTACCGGTGAGTTTTTAGAATATCTAAGCTTGTGAAGTGCATGTAACATACATTGCATATTACATAAGTAATTTCTGCGCCAGGGAATCCAAAGGAATAATCTTTTTGATTCTGAATCTTACTATACTGATGATGTTGTATAGCGTGAGCAATTGTATTTGATTTTCTTATGAATGTCATGGGACAAAATTCACATTGATATATTGACCGCACCGAATAGCATTCCGAATTTTTATTAATAAAATCTTCATTTTTCTAAGAAGATCGAATAAATACATTGTTTTAAAAAAAATTATTAATTTTAATTATATTATGAATATATTAGTACCATAATACGTCTCATGTCCCAGTATGTAATCCAATAAATAGCATTTGTGATGCTGCGAAAGTGACCCAAAATGTGCGACTGCACTGTACTAACATTGGCAGGTGAAAACACTACATTGCAAAAGGCACACATTATAACTTTGGTTAAGGGCACGGGCACGTCCTCTGCAGCTAAAAATGAAAAATAATTTAATCAGTCAAGGGGTAAGATTCAGTAATTGTGAGGAGTGATTTAAAAATAATGTAAGAGTGTAAGCAAATGTTCGTAAAATTTCTTAATAAAGATTGTTAAAGACTGTCAAACTGCGAATTTAAACATCGAAATATATAGTATTATTATAAAGACCGATTTCACAATCATAACTTAAGTCTCAATACCTACTTCAGTCAACAACTTTGCTGACTAAGTTCATGCATAAGTCATTTTTGAGGCTGTGAAATTCGCTCTAGAAATCAAATATGAATTTTTAAAAAACAGAAATTTTACAGAAAGTAGCTGAAATATAACGAAATTTCATGTCCTATATATTTCAAAAAATAATTTCAAGATGAGATGATGAGTATTTGAAAATATTCAAAACAGCTATATGGGTAAGCCAAAAATTCAATTAATTAAAATAAAAAAAATCTTTTTTTTTGTTGTTGTAGTTGACTATTTTTCGAAATCTCTCTACCAAAAAATAATTAATCGAATTTAACAGGCCAAAGATTGGCACAACAGAATTTTCAAAATAAATATAAGCACCCCGTATTCCTCTTATTTTTTTAAAAAATCATTGTTCTGGAATGAATTTCCTTTCAATTGGTACCGACTTCTTTTATAATTTAATTAAATTATTTAACATGAAATAATTTAATATGCATTATTGTATCGATAGATAATCTGCAATAGTAGGCATCTAGCCAGAGGGGGATTGAGGGATTAAACCTTTATCCTATTCCCATTTCGGCAAGTGACAAATTATATTCATATAGTCATTATTAATGACAGACTAATAAAAAAAAATATTTTAAATTACAGTTTTGACTCAATATGAACCTGAAAATATTCCTAGTCATAGTTATTCCTAGTTAAATTCTTAAAACTTTGTCAGATCATCAGTACGGATTTTCTTAAAGGTGCACAACAATAACAAATTTGATATATTTAATTATATTTAATACTTTTATTTGTTTTATTTTATTTATTATAGAATTAATTATTAATTATGTAGTCAACAAAAAAACCAATCAAAAATTTAAATATTTTAAAATATTTGGTAATAAGATAAAATTTTTCAGTATGCTTAATAATGACGACATCTGTTAAACTTACTTAAAGTGTTATCTGCATTTACCTTATGAGTTATTTCCAACTCATAAATATCGGTATCAGATCGTTTAGTTAGTGTTGAAATTTCGAATTCTATGAAAGAGTATAGAAAAAAGACAATGTATGTGACTTATTTTATATTCTAAGATCATATATTCCTATATATGTACATATGTAAATTCAATACTTACCATAATTCGCAGGTTGCGACGCTTCAACCCTTTGAAGTTCACACTGTTTAGGTATTTCCTCAACTAATCGTAGGAAATAAAATATTAGAGAAAAATAATTAAAATTTATGCAGTAATTATTTTCTTTTGCAACTACGTACCGTACATTTCGTCTTCAAATGTTTGAGAGATATCTCTAATTTTCCCGTCTTTATCAATGCATGTTTGACATTCTGGAACTATTCAGAAGAACAAAAATAATTATTAAATTATTGATTTTAAGTGTTTAAATTTAATGTAATATATAATTCCTTGAAGTGTGAAGAAGTAGTAATAAATTGCATTTCATTTGGCCTACTTTGAAAGTACAAACTATATTATAATGATTGATTCTGTTATGTATTTTATTTAATGTATATGGAATACTGATTTGTTACTTTTCTTAATTATGTTAAAATATATTTTCTATAAAATTTTTTATTTTTTTGAGAATATTTTTGAAATACATAGTATATAGTAACTATATTCCTTTGCATATACTTACCAGAAATTGCATTAGAAATATCTTCAATCTCCACATGTTCATCAATGGCTGTTTCACATTCTGAAACTGATTTAGTAGAACAAAATTAATTATTGAAATATTGATTTAATGTAATATATAAGTTTTTTTGGAGGTGTGGAGGAGTAGTAATTAAATTTTAACTACAATATGACATATGACTACTAAATTTATCTAAACCTAAAAGAAAACGACGACAATCGACTTAAAAAGTTCTTTGAAGTGGTAATTTTAACTTGGGGTACAGAAAAATGTCTGTTTCCAGCATGAAACTATATGGAGTGAGTATAGTACTTGGTCCATTACATTTCTTGATTTTTTAGTATAAACTTTTGCAAAACGCGATTCTTTTATTGCCGTTTTGCTCACTTTATATATTAAGCACTTATTATATAAATATATAATCCATGGTAATAGAAAAATTACAGAATATATATATTTTTAAGTCATCTAATTATCGAGATAACAATTTTTTGGCGGAAAACAACTTTTTAGTTAACAAAGGCTACTTTCCGTCAAATATATTCATTCTGGTTTATATTCTATCGCACTGCAAACTTCCTCAAAAATAGTCATGATATTCTTAATATTTCAAGCTAGATTCAATATGCTACAAGCCATGGTCATCCAGAATCAATATGGCCACCGAATACTTCTTAAATCTGATAACTAAATTCATATATTTTAAAAATTAACTGTAAGATATCATGTATTCCATAAAGTGATTGGTTTATTTCAATCACTGTATCATTCATATTACTACCTACATGATTTCTAATAGGAAGAATTTCTTATAGACAAGGACTAAATAAACATCAAATATACAATGACGAAATGTATAAATTAACAATACTGGTTTATATATGTTTAATGTTCGAAGCAGAAAATGAATTCCTCAAACGTTTGGTAATTTCGGAAAAAACAATTTCTCTCAGTA